GTAGATCACCAGTCCTTTCTTCCTAGTCTTAGTCTGGAAGCTCCCCTAAAACCTCTCGGCCATGGATGACCCTGCTGGTATTTGAAAATACTGGTGGCAGAGCTTCCAGCATCATAGCAACATGCAAGTCATCGCAGTATGATAAACCATGGAAACCAAGACATGCTTATCCGATATGTGATACAGAGTGACATTTCTTCTCTACCTGGTTGTATGGCCAGAGAATCCAAGCCCATCTCAAATTAATCTACATAAATCTGATGAGGAAAATAAGTCTGCTGAAAAAAAGTCTCATGAAATATTTTCAAAACATGAAAGTAATTTAGGGATTTTTCTACTTTGTAAATTGGTTTTACCATTTCTTTACTTTAGAGAAGTGGAGACATTTTATTTGAGCAAGTGTGACTTGGTCTGAGGCAAATTGAGTTCTTGTACAAATGGTGCAAGACAAGGGTTAGTGAGCTCAGAGTTAGTCATGAAGACATAGACACTGTCCTAGGAAATTACTCTTTGCTTATTTTATAATTTCAGATGTATATAAATGTGCCTCCTCCCTTTTAGGTCTAAATCCACAAGGAGAGCCATCTGGTGCCACTTCACAACCATCTCGTTGTTGTGGGAACAAAGAGAAGAATGAAGATGACGGCAGGCGAATCTCAGTAACCCTCGCTCCTAGTACAAGTCCAAGCAATGTCAGGAAAATAGACAATGTGGCTGTGAAGGTGGGAACTATGGTGTCCATTGTCTAGACTTACGGCTCTCCTAGCGTTGTTGTTGTACCCCAGTGTGGCAAAACTCACTCTGCTCACCTCCTGAAGCTTCCAGGCTCACCAAGCCCATTAGGCAAACAAACATTCTGCACTGAAAGAATGGTGGCTTTGGCTGTAAAACCATTGGGATGACTTCTGATGCTTTATTGAAAACGCTAAGTATGTTATTAATTCATACCCAAATAGAGTAGAGATGCTGTCCTTTTTTTCTTTTTTTTTTAGTTTTTTAAATTTCACTTGTTGTTGTTGAGAATATATACATAGCAGAACATACACCAATTCAACAATTTCTACATTACAATTTGGTGTCATTGCTTGCCTTCTTTGTTGTGCAATCATTCTCACTCTTTTCACCCGGAACGGTTCCTCCCCCATTAACATAAACTCGCTGCTCCCTAAGTTTTCTATCTAATCTTTCAAGTTGCTGTTGTCAATTAGATCCCATATACTGAATTTTTACTCAAATAAAGTGCACCTTCTGTATTTGTTTGCCAACCTCGAGAGAGGAGGGAGCAGTTGGCAAACCAACATAGAAGGCTCACGTTATTTGCGTAAAAATACGGTACAGTAAAACCTTTGAAAGCCGGAATCTGTGTAAGGCAGAAATCGGCCAGAGAAGGAAAACTCAAATATTTTCCACTAAAATGAGTGATAGAAGAGTGGTAAGACTGTACCCTGTCAGAGGCAGAAAACTTTAAAACCTGGAAAAACAAGACAGTCCCGTTGAGTTCCGGCTCTCATAGATTTCACCGCAGATAGTTCTTAAAAGAGCACAATGCTCAAGGCAGACATTCTTTACCAGTTAGGCTAAACTACTGCTTGGTTTCAAGAAGACTTCAGGGGGAGATTCAGAAGTCACTCTACCTGAGCTCACCCCCAGGGAGATTGTGGGGCCACATGTTGAAATACACTAAAACACTCATCTAGACCATACATTGAAAATGCTAATCTAGATGGACACAGTGGCTGCAACAATGGGCTAAAGCGTAACAACAATTGTGAGGATGGCACAGGACCGGGCAGTGTTTTGTTTTGCTGTACGTAGGGTCACTGTGAGTCGGAACCAATTCGACAGCACCTAACAACAACAACGATCTAGAAAAAACCTAAATACACAATAGTATAAAATAACATATCTGCCTCATGGACAGCGGTGGCTTAAAATAGGTCACTCAGGACTGGGTGGGTAATTGGGTGGTTGTGCTTTTAACAAAGCCAGATAAAAACACAATACAATCTCAGCAGCCTATTTTGCAGCAGTAAGAAGCTTCACTCGGGTTAATGCATCAATTAGTTATTAATGGAAATTTATTGAGGACATCATATTGAAGTTCACGTGCGGTAAACAATCATTAAGACCCTGAGACCTTGTTTTCATTGAGGACTGTGTTTCTGGCCACATTTTTTTTTGGTACCAATTAACCTTTTATTCCCCATTTCTTTTCCTTTGCACTTTGTTGCAGGATATTTCCCCATCTGCCGGTGAACACGGTAACTGTTTTTCCCAATCGTCTCTGCAATCTGACCCCTGTCTGGCAGTGGGTAAGGACCACTTTCCGCCATGCTGCAAAGGTCTTGATGTTGGATTGCTCAAGACGCAGCTGCTGCTCCCCGCAGAGCACGTCTCAGTAGACCCCAAATCGGGCATTTTTGCAGATGCTCAAGGGCCCTCTTCCTTTGAGTCTGAAGGAACCTTACCCCGCCATGACGCTGCTACCTCTGTGGCTGCTGTTGGTACTTCTCTAGGGGTGACAGCAGGCCACATGATGCTGGGAATTCCCAGTGCAGAGCCACAAGGCTGCAGCTGGTCTGCTGAGGAGACTGTGCTACGAAGCTCCCCAGGCAGAAAAACTATAGCAGATGGCACATCACTGCCATGCTTGCCAGAGAAACCTTCATCTGGACAAAGAATTTCAGGTGCAGCCCCACTGGAGTCAACGGAGAAAGCTCATCTTGAAATACCAGCCTCAGGACTGAGTCCCACTAGTTCACATCAAGAGGAAGGGAGACACCAGGGGTTTTTTCCTTCCAGGGGCCAGTACAAGTGTGGGGAGAAGGTCACCCCCTGCCACCCTTTGGGTAACAAAAGTGAGAAATGTCAAGTACCCGGATCCACCTCTCTGAAGGATTGTGTGGTTCCTTGCAGCTCAGGGCAGCCCACAGACATCCCCGAAGCTCCTTCTAAAACCATCAAGAAGAGGAGTTTGGAAGGAATGAGAAAGCAAACTCGACTGGAATTCAGCGACACCAGCAGCGATGATGAAGACCGATTAGTTATAGAAATATGACGCTTCCAGAAAAGATGGCATCTACCAACCAAGACTGTTGATGCTTCACAACTCCTCGAGCTAGTCAGAGAAGTGAACTCCATTGATGAAGCACCTGAAGATTAGGAAAGCCATTCTGAGATCTTTCCAAGCCAAGCCCAATCAACTCTAAGCCCCCAACTCAGCCACCATCTTCCCAGCGCTCACCTTGGGCCTGGCAACCTTCGTTCATGTGGTGCCCAGTAGGGGAAAGCAGACACCGAAGCAGAGTCTGAGAACACTTGATGCACACAACAACTATGCCTTGACTGCCAGCCTTATCCCTTTTCTGTCTCTGCAGCAAGCCCCCAATGCCTGACTCCAAACAAGTGGCATTAACCAAGAGAGCCACAATCAACACGTTAATGAGCGTGAACTCCATGAAGTCAAGGCTACTGACTTCCCTCGTTAATAAGCTGAGGGCTTGCCTCCAAGGTGGTACGGGTATTTGGGATAATACAAGTAGCTTGAAAAGGACATGGAGTGTGAATTGGGTATCAAGATAGTTCTTGTGTATTCTGGAAACAAAATCCAGATGTAGTAAAAAACTAAAGTTTGGTCAGAATAATTTGCCTTGAAGAAATTGTAAATATATTTCAAAATGCCTTTGATCTGGTGAAATGCTCATTATTTTTAAATGTTGCACCAACAGTCACTGCTTCTTAGGGCTAAATGACACAAGCAAGTCCTGCTCTTGTGTCTGGGGGCTTTTCTGTGGAGACCTCTGGAACCCTTGGTTTTTCTAGCTCTGCTAAAGGAATGTTGTGTTCAAAGTTAATAGAACAGCCTCTCAGTCATGAGTCATTTTTTGAGGGGAAAAATTCACTTATTTTCCTCTGATTCTTTTTGTCATATTGTGCTCTGAGCAATTTCAATTAGAGGGTTACATTTTAGTAATCTCTACAGCTTAAACTGATGCCTGCTCATCGTGACGGGAACCTTTTAGATTTCCTCCAGAAGCTTCAAGGATACAAAACTAATTGGAGTTTTGACGCTGTTTTACATCTCAGTAATTTTATTTTGGGGGCTTGGTGTTACTTTGCTGTCAAATTAAATCAGCCTCTGTGTTGTGTTAGTCAGAACAGCACCGATAAAATTCCCCAGTATTCCGAGCCAGCGCACCCTGGCACAGAAGAAAATAACAGATCCGCGTCAGCCGGCCCAGAGAGTGATGCCTTAGGTTTGCCCATTCCTCTCTTTCTCCTTAAATGGGAGAGGAGAAACTTAAAGAGGTTCACACTGCTGCATTTCAATAAAATTTTATACTTGCTTTTGGTATGATTTTGTACAACCTGAAATTTATAGCTGAGCTCTTTTGGCTTAACTTTGATGTAACGATGTTCAGACGACATCCTGTACTTCAAAGGGAAGGCAGCGACCCCAAGCATCTCACATATCTGAACACACTTTAATAAGTCTGCCTGCGACTAAGTATAGTCAAGTATCTTCACGTGCGTTTCCCAGTGTTAGGGTTATTCCCAGGAAACTTCAATGTGAGACCAGCTTCTCCCAGTTACTTACATACATCTGTGGCCATTTCATATGTGCTCATAAATATCCAAGTGATTTCTAGCCCAGCCAAGAGAGATATCAGAAGGGAGGTGAAAAGGATGTTGGACCCTCACTTAGTGTATTTTTTAAGCCAACAGAAAGTGACGTGGTGATTATCTACCCATTTGAATGATCCATGCCACTGTAAGGAGAGAGGTTGTCCAGGAAAGTGGCCTGACCCTTGGAAGAGTGAGCTTGAAGACCTGGGAAATCTTGGTTAAGACCCACACCTTCTCTGAAGCTCAGTGTCTACAACTGAGAATGGGAGAGTAGAAGAGATTAGCTGAAACTAGTCTCCAATCCTCATGACCTGAGAGTGGATGATAGAGAAGCCACCCTCTCCTTCCCGTACGTGGAGTTGATACGGCTTGGAGATATTCCCATTCCAAAGCTCTCACACCAAGGGTCCTGCACTCAAGAAGTTTGGGTGGAGATTGTGGGGAAGTGAAGCCTAAACACCTTCAGCCAGTTATTGCCATGAAGAATGTGAGCTCAGGAAAAAATTTTTTAAAAAAAGAAAACCAAACCAGTTGTCATTGAGTTGGTTCCAACTCATGATGATCCCTCGTGTGTTACAGAGTAGAACTGCTCCATAGGTTTTTCTTGGTTGTAATTTTTAGGGAAGCAGATCATCAGGCCTTTCTTCTGCAGTGCCACCGGGTGGGTTTGAATCGACCTTTAGCTCAGCTGTTTGTGCCACCAAGGGACCTTCTAGCTAGCAGAGCTTGATCTGATTTTTTCAAGAGGATTTTGTGGTGCAATCACTCAACATATACACTCATAATTCAAACATCAAAAGCAAAAACAAAACACCACTATGCGTGTTTAAGACAACATGTCTATGGAGTAAATTGGTTTACAGGCCACCAGGCCTCCTTGTCTTTGGAGGCACTGGTCAGGGGGAGGAAAGTTTTTTGCAGATTCTTCCCTCCTGAGTGGCCGTTGAGCTGTCAACAGGATCTTGGAGCTAAATCAGTAAGCCACAGTTCCAAATAGCACTGATCTCGGGACAGTGGTAGAAGCTCTGTCTTTCTTGAGCCACTTCCCAATCTAGATCAAAAATGGCAGAACACTGAGTCCATCTCTTTAATTCCCTGGGTCATTGGACAGGTTGTCAACCCATCCTGTCTCAACTGGCCATTTCACTAGTGGGTGACGATCTTTACAGGTGCACCATACTTTATATCAGCATGAATTTCTGAAAAACCATATTTCAGTGGATTTTTAAACAACTAAATCAAAAATATATTTTGAATGTCTCTAGGGGAATTGCTATTGAAAGGCATCCTAAGATAAAGATGATTTTTTTTCTAATGGTGAATCCTTTTATAAAACAATGAACAATCTTTGATTTTATAAGTCTTAATTTTCCTATGGCTTTTCTTAAAGTGGAATGCAATGATGGGATACATTTTAAGGGTAAAACCAGCAGCCTATAACCTAGTTTGGGTTACTGAAAATAAAATTTCAGTATTATTCTTGATAATTGCTCTAATTTTCTACTCTACAACTGTGTACTGCCTAATGGTTAAGGGAAAGTAATGTTATTTTAGAACAAGGCAAGCCAGAGATTAAGGATCAGGGATTCTCCTCTCTTCCCAGCACTCTTAACTATCACTGTACCTTCAGGTACGGCTTTTAACCAACTGGTGCCTCAGCTTCCTCCCTAGGGAACAGCTGCAGAGGTGCTGGCATGGATTCACTTAAAGGGCACTTTGAATTCTTTGCCATTCACTCAGGGCAAGGTATACAAGTGCCATGGCCCAAGATCCTCAAGACTCACCACTGCACTGTCTCTTTGCACCTGTATCTGTCCAGCTTTTGCCTGTTAAAAGATGTATGGGGAAAGTGGTTTCCCCTCCCCATTGGCAACCTATACTGTTAAGTGATGCATACAGTCATGTGATTCTTGATGGAAAATCTGAATCCTTTTTGTTGTCACTCAGGCTCATCATCTGAGCTCCTTGGGATAGTCATGGGTAGAGGTGAAGAGCAGCTCATCAATCCTGTTAGGGGTAACCTTTGAGATTCTGGATGAAACCAATATCCCTTTGGTTCACACTGCCAGTGAACCTATGGTTCATTTGCTCCATGAAGGAAAAAAAGGTGGAGGGTAGGGTGAGGGGATGTCTCTGAATTCTAATCAAAACACTGCCAATAGCCTGTTGGATGACCTAGGGCAAGCTAACTTTTTTCTTCCGAAAATGTCTCCTCTAAAGCTGAGATTGAAAGAGTAGCCTCGCAAAAGTGGGTTATGACCATGGTCCTCAGCATGATAGATGGTTTGCAGCCTTGTGCCAAGAAGTATTTCCTTGCATTTACATTCATTACTTAGAATGATCACATTATTCATTTTCTCCCCCAGCACAGAAATTTGCATTTTGCACAAAATTTGCGTGGTGCAGCAGATTTTTAGTTATGGAAACTGTCATCATTATCAGAATGTGCTGCTGCTCAACTCCCCAGACATAATTTAATATGGTGAAGAGAAAATGGCCTGCCCAGCTCTATGGGTGGGCATATTTTTACTACTGCAGCAAACATGGTTTCTGTATTTTTCTTCACTTCAGTTGTTATTGCCATAGTTCGTGTGAGGGACACTCTTTGGTTTTTGAAACACTACATTTTTCTATACTCAAGCACAATTTCTTGTCCTAATCTTTCAGAACTCATTAAATATAATTGTCAGGACCAAGACAATCTTGTGTGCTAGATTTCTACCTTGTATGATTCTTTTTCACCCATGCTTTATACACACGTGGGAATGTGCATAATTCAGTCTGAAGAAGAGTAGAAACAGCTGAACACGTTATTTCACCGCTGGAAGAAAAGAAACCAGGGAAAAAAAGTCAGCCTCTGCCACTTGGGCCCTTGAGGATGACTCAGTGTATTATATATGCAGACTACCGTTTAGAACTCACTACTCTATCAGTTGTTCGTAATCAGGGAAGCAATTGGCTTCTTGATTGTTTGTTGAAATTTATTTCTGTCTTTATATGGTTAAATTATTTTGTTTTCATAAAAATAAAACTGAGAATATAAATGTCTTGTGTGATTTGTTAACAGTTTAATCAAAACTACCACAAACAGTATCCTATGTATTTAGTCCCAACTGGTTGGTTGATCAGACACCCTGTCCGCCATATTGGTTTTCCATTCCACATAACAAAAGGAATAGACAATGCCAAATTATCATTTTTCTTGTGCTATTTCTTATCCCCAGGGGTCCTTCTGCCTGTTTGTCATTGTCTGTCATATTTTACAGTTCATAATTTAAAAATGTCTCTTTGAATTCTTAAATGTAGCTAAACTTTAAAGCCACATGAGGGCACTATCCACAGTGCGATAATCCAAAACTTTTCCCCTTGGAATTAATAGTTCTTGGATATTTAACATTATTCATTAACAAAGAAAACATTCTTAATTCAAAACAACACCTCCTTATGTAGATAATTCATGTACTCTTCAACAATAAGTAGACTTATTTTGCAGACCAACGTAATATTATCCTTCTATGTATATACTTTTTGAAGTCAATGGAGACACAATACATTGGGAGAAAAATGGGAACAGGAATATGAAAGGAACAGATATACTAATTAATGGATTTAATAGTCTTTTTTCTAACTCATCAAATTCTAATAGTAATAAATTAATCCATTATTTCCAAACTTTAGTCATATGAGAGCCATCTTCATGCTTTTGCCATATATATCCACATTCAATACATTATTAATACTTTGACTTAAATAATCTCTGTTTTAAAGAAGAGATTATTGCCCTAGACAATAATATGTAGGAATTTATAGCCTTGATTTGCTAGTTACATGTATTTTTCTAATATGCAATAAAATAAATACAAATCTGTTACAATTGTTCACCCATGCATCACTTAAAGATCATCTTGCATGCCACCAGTGGTATTCCCATCACACATGGAGAAACATTGAGCTAATCACATGAATTGTTACTTTCTCTAGTTATTCTAGTTCCTGTTAAGCACAGCTCTCTCCCCATTTTTTTTCTCTCCAAGCCAATAGAACTGGTAAACACGAGTAGAGCTGTAGGTTTATCAAATATGTTTCTTTAGTCAAATTTACAGTTGGATAATTAACATTACAAACCAAAGGATTACCACCATATAATCGTTTCTTCTCAAAGGAATAATCATATAGTGTCTTATTTTGTTGTGAAAATATCTTTATTTGTTTTCGATGTTTTGCTTGTTGGTTGGTTGGTCGGTTGATTGGTTGGTTGGTTGGCTGGCTGGCTGACTGGCTGGTTGGTTGGTTGGTTGGTTGGTTGACTGGCTGGTTGGTTGGTTGATTGGCTGGTTACTTGGTTGGTTGGTTAGTTGGTTGGTTGGTTGGTTGGTGAATACAAAATGATATACAAGGAAAGCATAGATAGGGAGTCATGACAAACCATATTTCCGTCAATTCTGCCTCAAACCTGCTTGCATCCTTCTGAATTTGAAGCAAACAGATTTGGCTGTACTAACAACCATGGGAAGTAAGTTTCAAATCTCTGCTTAGTGACAGTGGGTGGCTCTTTGGGCTGTGAACAAAGGACTTGCTCTGTGGCATCTGAGATGTTAGTCCTCAGCTGTGACAAATGTCTGTTTCCAGTTTCCTTCACTTTCTGCCAGAGGCAAACTCAACACCCTTTATGAGTGATCATCCTGGGATTGATTAGTCCATTGTGATTTCTATCTAGAAGGAGGTGAATTGTTTTTCTGCGTCAATGCGTGACTGACCAGATTCCTATAGGGAATTGGTGGTGTTTGTAGGTGAAGCATCTGGGACAGTGTGCCCTGGCCCTGTCACTGGTCACAGAGGAAATCTGGTTTCCTTCTGTGTGAACATTATGTGCAACAGGTTGTATTCAGCAGAAATTAGGCCTTTTGACTTCATCGTAAATGAAAGGCCAGATATCCAGGCTTCTTCTTTCTGCGGTAATGTGTGATCCACAAATGTGATGTCCCAGTTAGATATGTCTGCCTTAAGATTGTCCTCCCCCTACACGTACACTCACACTTGTGCATGCACGCACACATATATACACTTACGTATACACATAGAAGCCATACATTAAGGACCTACACAAAAAGTCCTCCTCTTGTTCAAATAAAGAAGTGGGTAGAGTGAGGCCAATGAATTAGGAGATCTACCTATATGGCTCCTAAGGGGTCTGGTCGAAGGCAGGGCCATCCTGGTTGTTAGCCACTAAAGCAATGCCTGGCTCACAGAGGGCCATGCTGCATGTTTGCTAAGTAAACAAGTGGAAATGGTTCATAGGGGTGAGGGGATGGATGGGGGAGAAAGCATCTAAAATGGGTAATAGCCCCAGTCCTCATTCTCTAGTGCTGCTATAACAGAAATACCACAAGTGGGTGGCTTTAACAAACAGAAATTTATTTTCTCACAGTTTAGGAGGCTAGAAGTCCAAATTCAGGGTGCCAGCTCTAGGGAAATGCTCTCTCTCTCTGGGGAATCTGGAAGAAGGTCCTTGTCTCTTTTCAGCTTCTGTTCCTCAATTCGTTGGTAATCTTCATGTGATGTGGCATCTGTCTTCCCCCATGTCTGCTTGCCTCTCTATGCCTAATCTGTTTTATATCTTAAAGGTGGCTGGCTTAAAACACACCCTACACTGTATGGCCTCATTAACATCACAAAAAAAATTCTATTCCCGAATGGGATTACATCCCTAAGTATGTCGTTGTTACTGTTGTTAGGTGCCGTTGGGTCAGTTACTACTCCCAGCAACACTATGAATAACAGAACAAAACATTGCTCGGTCCTGCGCCATCCTCACAATAGTTGCTATACTTGAGCCCATTGTTGCAGCCACTGTGTCAATCCATCTCATTGAGGGTCTTTCTCTTTTTCACTGACTCTCTGTTTTACCAAGCATGATGTTCTTGTCCAGGGACTGATCCCTCCCGATATAACATGTTCAAAGTATGTGAGACAAAGTCTCTCCATCCTTGCTTCTGAGGCGCTTTCTGGCTATACTTCCAGGACCGATTTGTTCATTCTTTTGGCCCCCGCAATAAAACCAAGCCCGTTGCCATCGAGTCAATTCCAACTCATAGCGACCCTATAGGACAGAGTAGAACTGCCCCATAGAGTTTCCAAGGAGCGCCTGGGGGATTCGAACTGCCAGCCTTTTGATTAGCAGCCGTAGCACTTAACCACTATGCCACCAGGGTTTCCAATTCTTCTGACAGACCATGGTATATTTAATATTCTTTGCCAACACCATAATTCAAAGGCATCAATTCTTCTTCAGTCTTCTTTATTCATTGTCCAGCTTTCACGTGCATATGAGGCATTTGAAAATACCATGGCTTGGATGAGGTGCACCTTAGTCCTCAAAGTGATATCTTTGCTTTTTAGCACTTTAAAGAGGTCTTTTGCTGCAGATTTGCTCAATGCAATATGTCATTTGATTTCTTGACTGCTGCTTCTATGGGCATTGATTGTGGATCCAAATAAAATGAAACTCTTGACAACTTCAATCTTTTTTCCATTTATAATGATGATGCTTATTGGTCTAGTTGTCCTCCTTGTTTTCTTTATGTTGAGGTGTAATCCATACTGAAGGCTGTAGTCTTTGATCTTCATCAGTAAGTGCTGCAAGTCCTCTTCACTTTCAGCAGGGAAGGTTGTGTCATCTGCGTAGTGAAGGTTGTTAATAAGTCTTCCTCCAATCCTGATGCTGTGTTCTTCATACAGTCCACCGTCTCTGATTATTTGCTCAGCATACAGATTGAATAAATATGATGAAAGATACAACACCTTTCCTGATTTTAAACCACACAGTATCCCCTTGTTCTGTTCAAAGGATTACTTCTTGGTCTATGCAAGGGTTTCGCATGAGCACAATTAGGTGTTCTGGCATACCTATTCTTCACAATGTTATCCATAATTTGTTATCCACACATCCTTTGCATGTCAATAAAACACAGGTAAACATCTTTCTGGTATTCTCCGCTTTCAGCCAAGATCCATCTGATGTCAGCAATGATACCCTTGGTTCCACATCCTCTTCTGAATCCAGTTTGAATTTCTGTCAGTTTCCTGTTGATGTACTGCAGCAACCGACTTTGAATTATCTTTAGCAAACTTTTACTTGTGTGTGATATTAATGATTTTGTTTGATAATTTCTACATTCTGTTGGATTACTTTTCTTCGGAATGTGCACAAATATGGATCTCTTCCAGTCAGTTGGCCAGGTAGCTGTCTTCCAGATTTCTTGGTATAGAGTAGTGACAGCTTCCAGTGTTGCATCCATTTGTTGAAACGTCTCAGTTGGTATTCTGTCAATTCCTGGAGGCTTGTTTTTCACCAATGCCTTCTGTGCAGCTTGGATTTCTTCCTTTAATACCATTGGTTGTTGATCATAGGCTACCTCCTGAAATGGTTGAATGTCTATCAATTCTTTTTGGCATAGTGACTCTGTGTATTCCTTCCATCTTCTTTTGATGCTTTCTGCTTTGTTCAATATTTTCCCCATGTTGTTGTTAGGTGCCATCAAGTTGCTTCCAACTCGTAGTGACCCTATGTACAAAAAAAAAAAAAACAAAAAAAAAAAACACTGCCCAGTCCTGTGCCATCCTCACAATTGTTGCTGTGCTTGAGTACATTGTTGCAGCCACTGTACCAATACAACTCATTGAGGGTCTTCCTCTCTTTCACTGACCCTCTACTTTGCCAAGCATACTGTCCTTCTCCAAGGACTGGTCCCTCCAGATATAACATGTCCAAAGTACATGAGACAAAGTTTTGCCATCCTTGCTTCTAAGGAACATTCTGGTTGTACTTCTTCCAAGACAGATTTGTCCATTCTTGTGGCAGTGCATGGTATGTTCAATATTCTTCGCCAACACCATAATTCAAGGCATCAATTTTTCTTCAGTCTTCCTTATTCATTGTCCAGCTTTCACATGTCCATAGAATCTTCCCATATTGCAACTTGAAGCTTGAATTTTTCTTCAGTTCTTTCAACTTGAGAAATGCCAAGAGTGTTCCTCCTTTTTGGTTTTCTAGCTCCAGGTCTTTGCACATTTCATTATAGTATTTTACTTTGTCTTTTTGAGCTGCCTTTTGAAATTTTCTGTTCAGCTCTTTTACTTCATCATTTCTTCCTTTCCCTTTAGCTACTCTACGTTCAACGTTCACGAGCAAGTTTCAGACTCTCTTCTGACATCCATTTTGGTCTTTTCTTTCTTTCCTGTCTTTCTAATGACCTCTTGCTTTCTTCATGTATGATGTCCTTGATGTCATCCCAGAAGTCGTCTGGTCTTTGGTCATTAGTGTTCAACTTGTCAAATCTGTTCTTGAGATGGTCTCTAAACTCAGGTGGGATATACTCAAGGTCGTACTTTGACTCTCATGAAGTTATTTTAATTTTCTTCAACTTCAACTTGAGCTTCCATATGAGCAACTGGTAGTCTGTTCCTCAGTCGGCCACAGGCCTTGTCATAACTGATGATACTGAACTTCTCTATCATCTCTTTCCACAAGAGTGGTCAATTTTATTCCTGTGTATTCCATCTGATGAAGTCCTCGTGTACAGTCACCATTTATATTGTTGTAAACAGGTATTTTCAATGAAGAAGTCATTGGTCTTGCAAAATTCTATCATGTGGTCTCCCACATTGTTTGTATCACCAAGGCCATATTTTCCAACTACTCATTCTTCTTCTTGGTTTCCAACCTTCACATTTCAATCACCAGTAATTATCAATGCATCCTGATTACATGTTTGATCAATTTCAAACTGTAGAAGTTGGTAAAAATCTTCAATTTCTTCATCTTCGGCATTAATGGTTGGTGTGTAAATTTGAATAATAGTCGTATTAACCCGTCTTCCTTGTGGGTGTGTGGATATTATCCTATTACTGACAGAGTTGTTTTTCAGGATAGATCTTGAAATGTTCTTTTTGAAGATGAATGTAATGCCATTCCTCTTCAATTTGTCATTCTGGGTCTAGTAGACCAAATGATTGTCCAATTGAAAATGGCCAATACCAGTCCACTTCTGCTCACTAATGCCTAGGATATTGATCTTTGTGCATTCCATTTCATTTTTTGATTACCTCCAATTTTCCTACATTCATATTCGTACATTCCACGTTCTGATTATTAATGGATGTTTGCAGCTGTTTCCTCTCATTTTGAGTTGTGCCACATCAGCAAGTGAAGGTCCTGAAAGCTTGACTC